GATGATACATAGATGGATACATAGAGATGGATGGATGCATTGATGGATACATAGAGATGGATGATACATAGATGGATACATAGAGATGGATGGATACATTGATGGATGATACATAGAGAGATGGATGGATACCCAGATAACTAGAAGGGTACACAGAGAGATGGACACCCACAGAGACAGACAGAGCCACAGACAGACAGATACATACCTTCTGCCATGGCTCTGACTCTGCAAGCTCTCCTTGTTAAAGCAATTGTTAACATAAACAAACAATTGGATATTTACCATGGAAGATGAGGTGATACCAGCATTCTGTGACTTCATAGGAATTAATTACTTTGCAGACACAATTACTCTGTGCTTCAAGCCAAACACTTGGTTTTTTTTTCCTAAATGAAACAGACCACTAGGATCCAAGCAGTTAATTATTCCAAATCCCCATCGCTGTGGCCAGAAAGACCTCCTACACAGGAAGGATTTACACTGGCTGAACTGTACAAAGAAATCTTTCAAGACATTAACACTTGTGCTTGGGCTTGTAGATCTCTCTAGGGTCCTTTTTTTAATTTCAATAATGACTTCCATCAGCCTCAGAAAGTCTGAGCTCATACAGAAATCTCAAGGTGAATTTAGGACACACAAAGCTCTGAGCATCCTCAGCTCTGCAGAACAACAGAAGCTGTGAAATGAGAGGTTTTCATGTGACACACGTAGGCTGTTCAATAAACGTCCCCCAAAACCAGAACGCTTAGCAGCGGAATACACCAGAGGAGCCAGAAGAGTCCCTGGGCAGACAGGGCTCTGGTAATGGGTCCCTACCGCTCTCTGCGATGTTCTCCCAAGACACAGGACAGAGCCCTTGCCTCCCTGGCCCTAGAGGGGCTGGGGACCATGACACAGCACTGTAGCCTGAGAAACTGGAGGCCAACACACCAGGCAAGGGGCTGTAGGATGTGCTACTGACAGCGGGAAATGACAGTGGAAAAACACCCTTTCGGCAGGGGGAAGGGAAGCAACCGGGACCCCGGGACAGAGGGCCAGGGGCTGTGGGAGGCTCAGCAGCACAGTTTCACATGTTTCTTTTGCACACTTATGCACAGCGGAAGTCACACAAATCAGAATCCCCCTCCAGCGAATGCCCCATCAAGCCAAGGTGAACACAAAGAAGACTCCCTGTGGCGGGTTCTCAGCATCTAAGTGAGACCCCAAATGGTCAAACGGAAGTGAATTCTGTTCAGGGAGGGGAAGGCTGCTCTGCCTCAGGAGCTCTGCCCATGACAACCCCAGGAGGAAGACAGTGAGTGGCAGGGTCCTGTCCGGAACTGTCCAGTGCCAGGGCGTCCGAGGACAGCTGCTCACAGCTCGGGGTCCCACTTTTCCCATGTTGGGTCCCCAGGATTCCACCCAACACCTGTGCTCCCAACCTCCCACCCACAGTTTGATTGTTCCTCTCGAGAATGAGGCTCAGGGCTCAGTTTCCCCACACCATCGGCAGGCAGGAACCTCCCTGGGGGACAGTCCCAAGCCAGAGAGTTCGTGACAGGGGTCTGGCCAGCCAGGGTGCTCACCACTGCACAGACACGCCAAGGCAGGCCTCCATCGGGAGACAGCTCTCTCGGGTCACTCAGGGGAAAGGAAGCCTAATGCGACCCAGGCTGGACGAAGGGAGCTTCGTCATCTGTGGCCTGGCTCACGGAAACGAGGCAAATCTTCACCAAGCAGCCTTCCACCCCATTCCCAACCTCAGGTCACACAGGGTAGAGACGTTATTTTTAGTGAATGACTGTCAGGCCAAAGACATCTATTACTGGGTTTCCTAGTTATTCAGTCTGATGAGCGACTGTGAACTGCTGCACCGTACAGCCATCTACTCCGTCTCCCACCCTCCGCACACTGACAGGAAAGGCTACAAGAAAAAGGCATCATTTTAAATTAATTTTTTTCACAACAGGATTATTTCATTTTAATTCCCAAAACACAGAAGGGACAGGTTCAAGCAGGGGATGATGGAAATGTAGACCTGAGAGGTAGAATGGAAGTGGGTGTGAAGGGATAGTTGTGGGTTTCATATCCAGGGCATCGGAGAAACTCACACAGAGGGAAGCTTCTACCTCAGAGCTTCACCGCTTCATCCTGCGACTCCCTGAAGGATAAGAACGCAGGCGAGGCTGCAGACCCAGTTTGGGGTACTCACTGATCCCTTGGAAGAGCTCCTCGATGTTAATAGCATGCTTGGCACTGGTCTCCACCACGACGGCGCCTATGGATTCGGCATAGTCCTTCGCGTCCTTCAGGGGAACCTCCCTGGAAAGAGAAATGAATGCCCGCGTGTGAGATGCAAATAAACCCAAGAGACCGAACAGAGCACGTGTGCAAACAAGTTTTCTTCACTGACTTTTGGTCTTTTTGTCAACAAATACTGAGTGTCTGCAACCTGCTGGGCACTGGGCTAGGCTCTGAAACAGGTGAACTGAAGCCAGTGACTCCAAGTCAATGAATAAATACACAAGTACTCAAGTTGTAGGGTCAAGGTGAAAAGATGGTGAGTGACAGGGCAACTGTGGGCAGGACATGGCTATTTAACTCCTGGGGAAACTATTTTCTGTTAAAACCCTCCCACATATTTAGACGTTCTGGCCAAAAGTAATGGAAACCATTCACAGCGTCCCACCAGAACCAAGCGAGGCAGGCAGGCTGCAGGTGCTAAAGGGGCGACTGTGCCCTTATTACAGTTCATATCTAGATGTTCTGCCCAAAGCCTCAAGTACTCACAGTGGTGTTCTCGGGAATGTTACTGGATCATGGGTGAGTGATACTGGATTCATCCACTGATGGGCCTATAGCTAGGTGTGATGCTGGGAGGTGAAGCCTGGTGGGAGGAGGTGGGTCACTGGGCAAGGCCTAAAGGAAGTATGTATCCATCCCTTCTACTCCCTTGACCCTGAACACTGCTTCTTGCCTGCCCTGCCATGGACTGTTTCTCCTCTGCCATGCCACCTTGCCTTGGAGCCTGCCAACTACAGACCAAACCTCTACAAATTGTGAGCCAAAATAAACCTCTTCTCCTTTAACTTGTGGGTGTCGGGTACTGTGTCCCAGTAGCAAGAAAGTAACTAAGACAACTCCAAAGCAGCTTCTCAGTCTCCTGGTCCCTAGAGCAGGGTGTGTTGTGCTCTGATAAGCTCTTAATTTCTTTAAATATCCAGTACGTCTGTGTGACATTCAGGTGAGAAAACCATGCTAGCAATACCAGAAGCAGTGAATCTCTGTTTAAAATACTCACTCTTATAGATGCTCAGATCAACCTACCCATGAGATAAAATTAAAATTAAAATGAACTTCTTTTTACAGACAAGGAATAATTACCACCTTCCGAGTGAATGCCTCCTTGGATAATGCCTGGCTACTGTGATCTAAGCCCTCTGATCAAAGCACTTGACATGGGCACCCTGGGAAAGACTCCCGTTCCCAAGAGGCCTTTCCTGCTTAATAACGTGCAGCCCCAGCTGCTGTTCACCCAGAGCCAAACTCCTGGTTTCACATTCAAGCTGCAGTGTCAGGTTCTCAGCCGCAGACCTCAGCGGGCTGGTTCCCAAGGAAAAGATCAGAACCTGGAGTCCAAGAAGGACTGAGCAGAAGACATGGGTTCTCTTGGGGGATGTGGCCTCTTAAGACCCCTTCTCCATACAGAAATATAGGTTCATCCTCAAGAAGCCAGAGAGAAACCTGGAAAGAACTGTGAGCTCCAAGTTCCTGAATCCTCTTTGTACTTTACTTTTTATGAGATGCAGGACAGCATGGAGGTCAAAGTCACAAGCTCTGGAACAGACTACCAGGACTTCAAATTGGCCCTTGATCTTTTCAGTGACAGGATTTTGGGATAAGTTTCTTGACTGCTTTGTGTCTAGGCTCTTTAGGAATAACATGCAAACATGACAGTGGCTCTTTCCTGGGATGGTGAAGATGAAGATCAATCACTCATAACTGTGTGTGGCACACAGGAAACACTCAATTCAGGTGGCAGTGATGCTGATGACAGATTTGTATGCAGCCTCCTGGGTTTAGTGTCATGGCAGAGTCCCCAGAAAATTCATGCCAGTGGGCAGAATATGGAGCAGACAGATTGGCTGATGGGCAGCCTGATTCTCCTGCCATGGAGAGGAGAGGTGACAAACAGGCAGGTGCCCACTGGGTTCAAAGGCCCTGTCACCCACCAGACGATTCCTGTTTCATGGGAGACATGACTACGCTGGGCAGGTAAGTGTTTGAGATGAGGAGTTTTGGGAAAGAGGAGTTTTCCCTAGGTCCCTCCAGTCTTTCCCAAAGGAAATTCACTCCAAACACCTTTTCCCCTGAAGTCTTAGAAAGAAAATAGAATTCTGGTTCATACTGTGGTCCCTTGTAAACTCCAGTCTTTAATGTGATCACCTTCAAACTTAAAAGATCCAGATGGAAATATTTTTACTATGCTGGGAATCTACAAAATACCTGAATTCAATACTGTTATGTTACAGTGTAAGTGGTAACTTTTTCTTGCTGCATCTTTAATCTGGTTTCATTCCTGGAATACAGTCATCCAACTTTGTGAGGAGGGAGGAATAATAAAGAGTTTTTGTACAAAAAAAGTTTATCCCTAGTGTAGGTTTGTGTTCATCACCACAAACACAACACTGAGCTGTTCCACCATCACAAGGACCCCAGGGGGGCCCTTTTATAAACACACCAATGTCCTCCCCACCCCCATCACCCCTGGTAATCACTCACCAACAGCCCCTGGCAACACTCATTAGTTTACCCGGTTTCTAACACATCTGCATTTCAACCACGTTTGATACATGGAGTTACACACTATGCACCTTTGGGACTGGTTTCTGATACAGATTGGATCAAGAATGTCCCCCAAGGCCTGTGTATTAAAGTCTCTGCCATGTGTCCCCACCACGATGTGATGTCACAGGTCCAAAACAAGGGGGCTAACAGATCTCAGACTGACCCCTCCAAAACCGTGAGCCAAAATAAACCTTCTGTCTCTGTAAACTGATTTATCAGGTGTTTGCTATAGCAACAGAAAGGTGACTAAAGAGTTGCATTCATGTAGATGATTCCCCTGCATGTTCATGTTGCATGCATCTGTGGTTTGCTTCCTTTTTTTTTTTTTTAACCAAGTAGGAGTCTACAATATGGATGCACAGCAGTTTGTGCTGAAGGACATCTGGGCTGGGTCCAGTTTGGTCCCTTAAGGAAGGGTCCATGAATATTCACATGCAGTTTTCCTTTCTCTGGGATAAATGCCTAGGTGTGGTTGCTAGGACACACATAACTGTATACTTAATTTTATAAGAAATGCCATACAGCTTTCCAGAGTGCTATGCACACGAGCAGTATCCCTTCTCAGGCCAATGAGGTAGAAACAATCCTATCTTACCATCATCAACCCTGGGTACTGTTACTACTTTTTATTTTAGCCATTCAGACAGGTCTGACCCTAGTGTTAGACATTTTCTCTTGACCTTTCTCCCATCTTGGTATTTATTCTTCTGGAGGAAATGTCTGTTCATGTCTTTTGCCCATTTTCAAATTAGGGCTTTTCTTTTTTACTTCTTCTTTAACATTGTAAGTTTTTTTAATAGTCCATGTTCTAGTCCTTTATAGATAAGTCATTTATAAGTATTTTCTCCCAGCCTGTAGTTTGTCCTTCGTCCTCTTCACACAGATGGTTACAGAGCAAATATTTTAAATTTTGATCAAATTTTCCTTGTATGGATCATGTTTTTCGTGTCAAGCCCAAGAACTCACTGCCTAGCTTCATACCTTAAAGATTTTCCCTTAGGAATTTTTCTAAAAGTTTTAGTTTTGTATTTTACATTCAAATCTGTGATTCTCTTTGAATTAATTTTTATATAAGGTTGATGTGATTTGCTTTGTCTGTGGATGTCCAATTGCTCCCCCACCAATTGTTAAGAAACCATTCTTCTTCCATCAAATTGCTCTACATTTTTGTCAAAAATCAGTTGAACACATTTGTGTGGGCTTCCAGCTGCTCTATTCTGGTCCACTGATCTGTGTGTCTACTGCACATGCTGAGACTATCGATTTATGAACCTAGTATGTTTTGAATATTTATTCAAATCTTGCTTGATTTCTTTCATAAACATTTTGCATTTTTCAACACCAAATCCCTATACATGTTTTGTTAAATACATACTTAAGTATTTTATTTTCTCTAGAGTACTTATAAAGGGCATTGCATGTTTAATTTCAGCTTTTGCATATATTGTTAGTATACAGTAATGTAACTGATTTTTTCATGTTGTTCTTGTAGTCTACATCTTTGCTGAACCCACTTATTATTAGATTAAGAGTCTTGTTTTGTTTTTGTTTGAGCCAGGTGTGGTGGTGCAGGTCTGTAATCCCAGCACTCACTCTGGGAAGCCAACGCAGGAGGGTGGCAGGTTCAAGCCCAGCCTGGGTAACTTGGGAGATCTTGTCTCAATATTTAAAAAGGGGTAGGGATGTAGCTTGTTACAAGGGCCCTGGGTTCAAGCCCCAGTACTACCCCTCCCTCAAAAGGGCATTTTTGAGACAGGAAGATCGTTGTGAGTTTGAGGCCAGCCTGAATTACATAGAGACCCTATCTAAAAACAAAACAAAACAAACAAAGCAAAACTTACTGGTATGTCTCACGTGGAATATTCTCCAGGAGAGACCATGTGCTAAGTCATAAAACAAAGCCTCCAAAATTTAACTAAAGTCACACAAAGTATGTTTCAAATTAGAAATCACTGACAGAAATTTGGGAAATTCACAAGCAATAATTGGGTGGAAATTAAACAATGCAGTACTAAATAAACAATAGGTCTGAAAATAGATTAGAAAATACTTGAGATGATTAAAAACAGAACATAAAAAAAGTCATGGGATGCTGCTAAAGTGGTGCTTAGAGGAAAATGTATACCTGTAAATTTCCATGTTAAAAAAAGAAAAATAAATATATGTGCACTCTCGACATAAAACCTACAGCTAACATCACACTTAGTGGAGAGACTCAATGTTCCACCCGACAGGTCAGGAGAAGAAAGGTCCACCCTCAGCTTAGCCAACACTGGATTGGAGGTTCTGGCCAGGCCAATTGGACAAGAAAAATATACATAAAAGGCACCCATATTGGAAAGAAAGAGGTAAACTCTTTCCTCACAGGTAACATAATCTAGCATATAGAAAACCCCCAAAGAATTGACTAAAACACTACTAGAACAAATAAATACTAAAACTAATAAGTGAGTTCATTAACTCATTTAGGATACTAGAGAAACATTCAAAACTTAATCATATTTCTATATTCTAGCAAAGAGCCTGACATAAGTGGAATTAAGAAAACAATCCCATTTACATTACCAAAAAGAATAAAATTAAACAGGAATAAATATAACCAAAGAAATGGAAGAAGCATGCATCAGGGGCCTGGGGTGTGGTCAGGGGCAGAGGGCTTGCCTTGCTCAGGAAAATACATGAGAAAGAAATCATCTTTTCAACAATTATGTTAGGAGAATCACATATCCAACAGAAGAAGAAGTGGAGCCCTTGCTCACATTATACACAAAACAACATAAAATGCAGGACAGTCCTAAACATATGCACTGAAACTAAAGAAAACATAAGAGTAGATCTTTGTTGTTTTAATTAGCCAATCACTTGGGTACAAGAGATAAAAGGGGGAAAAAAACAAATTGGGTTTTAAGTGCCTGCACCTCTGGAGACAGGCTGAAGACTGCAAAGAGATTCCCTCATGGAAAGGGAGAATATTTGCAATCACGTATTGAGAAGGTACTCGTATTCACATTAAATGAAACACTCTTACAGCACAGTAGTGAAAAGACAGATAATCCAGTTAAAAACTGCCAAAGGATTTAAAGAGATAGTTCTCCAAAGAAGACATGCAAATCATTTGACTTCATTAAGTCATTAGGAAAATACAAATTAAAACAACAATGAGAGGGCTAGGGGCACAGCGCTTGCCTAGCATGTGCAAGGCCTTGGGTTCAATGTACACTGAAACACACACACACACAGGGATGGCGATCATCCAAAAGATAGATAGTAACACGTGTTGAGGAGGATATGGACGAATTATAACATCACTCACTATGCACTGCCAGTAGGGTATACAAGGGGCCAATCACTTGGAAAACAGTTCCTCTAAATGCTAAGCATAGAGTTACATGTGACTCAGAAAGTCTGCTCCGGGGTACATACATAAGAGAAATGTAAGCTAATACACACAAAATTTGTACACGTTTGTTCATGTCTGCATTTTTCATAATGGCCAAAAAGTACAAAGAACTCATATGGCAACTGATGAATGAATAAATACAATGTGGATGTCCACATAATGGCTTATCAGAACATAAAAATGAATGAGGTCCTGATACACGCTACAACATGCTTGAGCTTCAGGCCACATACTATATGATCCCAATTGCAAAATGTGCATAAGGACAAATTTATGGAGACAAAAGCACAGGTCAGCAGTTCCCAAGGGCTGGAGGAAGGAGCAGATTGGAGGTCACCACACACAGGCATGGTGTTCTTTGTAGGGTGACGGAAATGTCCGAATGCCAGATGTGATCATGACTGTACCACTCTAACTGTACTAAAATTCACTGAACTGTACACTTCAAACAGAGTTTTTAAGGGCCAGGGATTTAGCTCAGTGGCTCTGCCACCTGCCTTGCAAGCGCAAGGTCCCGAGTTTGATCCCCAGTACCAAAAAATAAAAATAAAGAATTTTTAAGACTTGTAAATTATCTCAGTGAAATATATTAAATGTTTAAAAAATGTAAATGTACTAGAATCAAACTAGTCTTTCTGCTGCCCCAATCAGGGGTGTGGAGGAGAAGTGCAGAGTCACCTCTTTGCTGCACAATTCAACCATCTGAAATCACTTGAGTACAAGGAAAGACATGCATTCAGCACTTTCAACCGCAGGATCCCGAAAAGCCACCTTCAGACCTCACTAAGGCCGAACTATCAGAAAAGGCTTCTGCCCAGACAGCCTGTGTTCCAGGGACAGTGGCCCTGATGTCAGTGCGGAGGCCGAGGCTGGGTGGCTTGGATTCTCTCCCTGAAGACAGAGTGGCGCAAGCTCCGACCTGACAACTGGGTGAGACGCACCCAGGATGTAACCAGGAACCCTAACGAACACCCTTGAGCCTGACACGGGTTTCTGCCTAACACCCAGTCCTCAGCAGCCCGCACACTAAGGCTCGGCCTCACTTGAAGCCACTCCCACCCACCAGTGGTGTCAGAGGACACCTCACAGCCAAGGCCGACCACCCACCCAGGCCGTGGAAGGCTCAAGGTGATCGGCAGGGAACACTAGCCGGGCGAGCTGCTTTCGGATTACAGTGGAGACAGCAGATAATCCGAATTAACTCTGGAGATTCTAAAGATTTGTCCACCTCCCCAGAAAAACAAGCGATTAAGCGGTGCTTATGGCTGTTATTACAAACCAGCCTGATGCAATATGATCTAAAGCTTGTGAAATCCCAAAGAAACAGAGCAATTTGTTAAATGCCACGGAAAGAACTTTCACAGGATCCGTCTTCATTGCTTATTTAACTTTGGTTTAATCATATTTAGATTGGCAGAACCAGAAGCAGGATGCAGTCATGCGTCTTTATGAACATCAACAGCTAGCATTCCTGAGAATTAAGTTAGCCCAGAGATGACACAAGTTCATGACAGAAGAGCCCCTCCTCGCAGTTTAACTTCTCATGGTTTCAGTTACCACCGTGGTCATCTGGGTTTGAAAATATGAAATGGAAACTTCCAGAAATAAACGATTCATAAGTTTTCTTTTTTTTTTCATTAAGTTTATTGGTACATTTTAGGTATACAATACAGTTACATTCATTGCTGGGATCTTGTACCTTTACATGATCTACCTTGGTTCTTATTTTTTCCCCATTCCCCTGCCCTCCCTTCACCCCCTCGATTCATAAGTCTTAAATCACTTTTATTACAGTGGATTGTCATGATTGTTCTACTTTATTATCGGTTCCTATCATCGATCTTTTACTATGCCTAATGCCTATATTGAACCTTATTGTAGATCTGCGTGTGTAGGAGGAAAGCATAGTATGTAGGGGGTTCAGTATTATCTGTGGTTCCAGGCATCCCCCACAGATAAGGGAGACTATCGTGCAGCCTTTCAAAAGTAACATTTGTTTAGCGAAATAGCTCGCTCGCTTACCCGGCTAGATAAAGTTATCACCAGATCTCTAGGTTGGACCGGGTCCTCACCACCTCTCTCTGAGTGCTGTGGTCTGGATGCCATTTGAGGCATCCCCAGGTTTTAGGTCCTGGGAGCTCAGACTCCAGGGGGTGATGCTGAGGTGTGGAATCGTTAAAGGGTGGGCTGATGGAGTGTGGACAGGTCGTTGTGGGCTGTCCTGAAGACAGGGATTGTGGTTCTCTAGGGACCCGAGTTCATCCTTGCAAGAGTGAGTTGTTATAAACAGAGAGAAGCTGGCCCCTGGCCTCTTTGGCCTCCTGTGTCACCAAGAGATCCCTCTGGCTCACAGTGGGTTCCCTTTCTGATTCTCTGCCACATTACCATGAAGCTGGGACACCAGTGTCAAGTTCGTGAACCTCTGGAAGTGTGAGCAAAGTAGACCTCTCATCTTTATACAACACCCAGCCTCAGATATTGAAAATATCAACAGAAAACAGACTAAGACATCAGGTAAAGGAATCCATTGTCACAATCCATTATCATTGACATACTGTCACTTAAAAGTGCTCCCATAAAGCATGTTATATGTAGATCTTAGAACAAAACAGTGAATGTCTAAAATCTAGAACTAAAACAGGAATGCTATGGAAAATATTAAGAATTCTATGGAACTTTACTACATGAAAGTGTTATAAAAATTGTATTAGCCCCAATGATGGTGATAGAAAACAGAAATAAAACTAACAGAATGATACGATCCAAAGATAGAGGTAGGGATGTACCTGTGCTATGTAGAGGAGATCTTAACATAATACTCATCATCGTGTGGGCCAACAGCTTTGTACCAATTTTCCTTCATTCACTCCAGTGGATCCAAACCACACTGACTACCAGTGGCTGGTCATCGGTCACATCCTTACACCAAGCACGCAAACAACAGCAAAGGCATAACAGTACCTCGTTACTCACCGACACTCAGAGATGAAGGATCCGTCTGTACACACACACATACATACACACACACACACACACGGGGTTAATGCCCCTCACCTAATGTCAGAGAGGTCGCACTTGTTCCCAGCAATGGCCATCACGATGTTCTCTGGGCCATGCTCTTTCAATTCTTTGACCCATTTCTTCAAGGTATGAAACGAATCCTAAATGGAAAATGTAAATATGAATCATTAAAAAGACTGTCGATATGATAGTCCAACCAAGTAGAAATGCAAACCCAATATAATTTAATGGACAAAAATACTTTCAGGAGACTCCCATACCTAACACTACCTAAGTCATTCCTCAACGGGCTGTAAAAAGTTCTTTTTTCCATGAGTGAAACTTGATGAAGTTAAGAAGATCATATTGGTGATTTTCGTCTGTAAATAACAATAATTTGCATCTATGGTCTTGACTCCACATGAATCAGGATGACAGGACTAATTGAATGTCCATGCTTCCTCCAGGAGAGACACGAATCGGTGGAGAGTCCTGTTTTCCTTCTGACCTTTCCCGTACAAGGGCCCCCCGGAGACAGGACAATGTGAAAGCCACGTTCACTGGAAGTATAGGACCGGGGAAGGTCGTGGGGTCATGTCATGAAACTGATGGTCACAAGTGGTAGTCAGCAAGCCAGAGAAACAGTAAAGAACTTAATTTATGGGAGTGCGAAAAATGCCATCGAACAACTGCAGTTGTTTATTGATGATATTCTTAGCCTTAACACGATAAACTATAATATAGCGGTTGCCTGATATGCATAGTCCCAAATCCTATAATACTATGTCTTTTCCCTATGCATACTTACCTATGATAAAGTTTAACTTATAAATTAGGTACAGTCAGGGGTTAACAATGATAGTAAAATAGAATAATTACTGTATAACAATTTACTATAATAAAAGTTATTTAAAACTCATGAATTATTTCTTTTTGGAATTTTTCCATTTAACTTTTTCAGCTGGCCACTGACCCCAGGTAAGTGAAACTGCAGAAAGAGAAACTGCTACATGCAGACATGGCATAGTCACCTCACACACGTAAACATCTTGGTGTTTTAATAGGATAACTCCAACACCAACAGAAAGTAAGTACCCTATTGCTATAAAACATGTAGAAGGAAGGAATGAAAACAGTGATCACTAGAGACGGGGAAGGGCAGGAGAAGGGGGACAGAAAGAGTAGGAGGGACTTTTAGGAACTGGGCAGGGTGCTAGGGGAGGGAGAAGACGTGTAGAACGTAGAAGGATGGATGGACGGTGTATGCCCGTGTGGAAATAGCACCATGAACCCCACTGGTTTGTACAATCATTATGTGTTAATAATAATTTTTAAATCAAGAAGAAGAAAAAAACCCAAGCAGAACTTACAAACACAGCACTAGCAGGCCTGCCCTCGTCCTGGGAATGCAGTCAGTTTTAACAGTGAAAGTGCATTGTTTAATTCAGCAGGTACATGTGAGAAGCTCCGCTGCCTATGGATGAAATTCACTGAGGCACAGTGTTCGCTGTCCTCGGTCTCTTACTGGGCAGTCTCAGTCCAGACCCTGGCAAGACTCAAGCAATGTCAGCTCCGTCTGGTCTCCTAAGACCAGAGGGAGTCACCGAACATGGCATCTGCACTCTGCAGGAGACGTCTTACCTGTTTGGTAATGTCGTAGACTATGACGGCTGCTGCAGATCCTCGATAGTACATGGGAGCCAGCGAGTGAAACTGTTTAAAAACAATGAACAGTTTCAGGCAAGAACAGCAGCTTTTAAGCACTAGGATCTGCATCATCCCAATAAGATCTGTAAATTCCTTTTAGGATCCTTTCAGGGCTTGCATTAAATAACAAATTCCTCTTCCTTAAATGCACGCTTGAGCGCGTGCGCGCGCGCGAGCGCGCACACACACACACACACAGACACACACTTGTGGTTTGTAGAACATGAAATCTATTAGGCAAAAGTCAAAAATCAAATTTTATATTATTAAAGGTTGCCATCCTGTGAATTTTCTGCCCTCTCCTGTTCATCATCTATGTAACTAATGATTGCTCCGGTGCAATCTCATTAGAATATACAGTGGTAAGAAAAACCTGTGCTCCAAGGGAGGGGACTGGAATACTGGCAAAGATCACAAGACCCTCGCATGCCATGCTGGGGTCTGGACGCTGGCCGGCCCGGGACCCAGGGCGGAGCTTTCTCGTGCACCTGAGGTCGCCAGCGGTGGGACTTCAGTGAGCTCCAGTCCAAAGTCCTAACAAAGTGAGCGTCACTGAACCCGGATAATTATTCTCAGAACACACATTACGTACATTTTGGAGAAGGAACCAGTCTCGATTTGCCTTTTGTTTAATTCAAAAATTTCTTGGCAGGTTTTGCAAGCCAACAGGGGAAAAAAATAGGTCAACCGAGAGATAAACACAGATATATACAGAAATCCATAGAGGAGGAGACATCAATTGCCAAAACATATTTTAAAAAATGTTCAATGAGTATAAAAGAATGAAAATAAGGATAATGATGAGGATAACGATAATTTACTAGATGTCAGGAGGACCATCAGGCCCAGTGTGGTGTGGGTTTGGGAGGCGAGCGACACTCACCCCTCCCAGGAATGTTCCCTAGCACTGCTGTGTGTAACTGTGGGATACAGACATAGAGGCAGACTCGCAATCCACTCACCTGCACTGGGATGACCAACCACAGAAAAGTACACAGCCCTGCATTGTGTGTGAGAGCTCAACTTTGCAAACCACCTACCTACGAGTCCACTCACTCCAGGGCCCCGCCTGGGTGCTGCGCGGTGCTAAGGACAAGCGTTCCGGTTCTCCTGCATTGAAGCCCTAGCTCCCTGGGTGATGGCATCTGGAGTGGAGCCTTGGGGAGGGAATCAGGCTTGGGCAAAGTTGTGAGGAGCACTCTGAGAGAAAGAGATCAACCTCCTCTCTCTCTCCCTCTCTCTCTCTCTCTCTCTCTCTCTCTCTCTCTCTGCCTACCAGGCGGAGGCCCTCACCAGTCATCAACTCTGTTCACACTTTGACCTTGGACTCTGACCTTGGATTCCCAAGCCTTCAGAACTGTGAGAAATAAATGTCTGTTGTTTAAGCCACTCAGGCTACAATGTTTTCTTACAGCAGCTGGAGCTGGCGAAGAATATATGGAATATTCTACAACTGTAAAATGATAGTACAGAGTTTTATTTATAGGCAAAGGTGTCTCTTATAGGCAAATGAAAAAATACCCTCAAAGCAGCGCATATAATATGATTTAAGGTGAAATGTATGTGGAAGCTTGTCTCTACACACCAAAAACATGATGTTCCTCAAAGTGTTCATGAGATTTTTAGTATTTTTTACATTTTTCTTGTAAGACTCTCTATAGTGTGAATCTCTACAACAATTTTAAGTAAAAATGGGTTTTAAGTTAAAATAAAGGAGCATCCATTTTTCCTGGGGTGCGGGGGAGCAGAGAAGAAAGCACAGATGGATCCTGTAGCCTTTTTCCCAAAAAACAAGCCCATGACTCATGTTCTCCCCACACACTTCTCTTGGAATAAGGTCTTCCCAGTAAGAATGCCCATTTCCCTTCAGTACACAGCCATGCTGGTAGCACTCACAGCGGGGTGGAGAGGAGACAGGTCACCTACCCCCTTCCAAGTCACTCTACACAGTCTCTACCCAGAAGAGAAACCACCATGGAGCCTTCGCAGGTTTCAGAAAAGGGAAAGGGCTGGATGACGCTCAGGATGAGCTAGGGAGTTCACAGCTCAGCAGTGTGGGGCTGAAGGTGCACAGCACTCATGACTGCAGAGCTCACTGGAGGGATGGCCAGCACCTGCCCTGTGTGTCTTCTCCCACTCACTGACTATCCAGCTCCGTGTGCTGGTCATAGTATTATGCCTCTGTAAATCCAAGTATATTAGTGAGCACTCCTCTTGCTGAGACACAATACCTGGCACCCACAACTTAAAAGAAAGGTTTAATTTGACTCACGGCTTCAAGAGATCCAGTCCATGGTCAGCTGGCTCCAAGCCAGGAACATCATGGCAGAAGGGCATGGTGGGCAAAGCTGCTTAGTCTGTGGCAGCCAGGAAGCAGAGCAGAACAGTACCAGAGAGGAAAGGGCCCAGGACCAGACATAGACCCCAAGGCCATACACCCATGACCCACCAGACATACCCAGGAGTGTGCTGTACTAGGACGCTGGGTGGATCCCAAGCCAATCAGGTTCCCCATCCAGCTTAACTGCCATAGCATGTTTAGCTCACCCTTTAGTGATCCACTCCTCACACAAAACAAATGGAGGAAAGAGCAATGCACCCTTTGCAGCACTCCTGCTTTGCTGAGGACAAGGAGTGCAAATAAAGTGTCCTTTCAGTCCAGTTATACAAAACACCCATTTTTAATTTCCAACATAGTCTGCACCTAAGAAGGAGAGTCAACACAAACATTACTTCTCAGAAGTCAGGCATGAGAGGAGCAAACCGGCCATGGTCTGAGACAGTCCCTTCGGGCTCTGATAACAGGAGCCACCTCTGAAGCAGTCAGCATGTGCAGGTCTCATGAATTATTGAGAAGATCTTGGTGTATGATGCATGCCCCTTCCTTCCTTCCTCCAAATGGAATCACTCTGAAATAAATCTGTTAGTGAAGCCACTTAAAGGACTTTACTGCTGGAGCCTTGGGGGTTTTAATGAGTTAAAAGTTCACATCTCATTTCCAAAACCCAATAATGCATTGACCAAAGGGTAATATTTGTGGAAGACAAAAAGATAAATCACTTTGAGCTTGCAATGTCTATCTTTCCCCATATAAACTTGGAACAAATGTACCTGCCTCAGCCTCCATACTCAACAGGACAGGATTCCATTTCCATGGAGTCAGAAGTAAGATGGATGAGACGCCCACAGAAAATAAATTCTTCCAGAAACAAAGCTCACAACCCCCAGAGCTTGACAATGCTTTATTTCAAATCTCACCTTGAAAGGTTATTTGGAATTTAGCACAACAGATGCCAATTCAAAATTCTGTCTTTTCTAGCTCCCCAACAAAGTATCTAGACTCCAAATTCCAGCAGTCAGGTCACTTTCAGATGTCACTGAGTGGTTTAGAGGCAGCACAGGAAATTGTGAAAAGCCAGTTCGTCGCTATCACAGAAACGGCTGATTCTGTCCATGGTGCACGTGACTGGTTTTGAATTGCTGATGTCTACATGGTAAGCGGGAAGGAAATGGCTTGCCGGCACTTTGATCCTCTTGAATTTCTCAGCTTTCACAGACGGAAGCGGTGCCAGTCCACTTCATGTTACTATAATAAAACACCTGGGATGATCACCTTGTGAAAAGTACAGGCTTCTTTCGGCACACAGCCTGGGGGTTTCGGTGCATGAGCAGATGGGCCTGTTGCTCAGCACATCACGGAGGAAATGTGCAACAGAGCGAAACTGTTCGCCTCATCACAGGTCAGGGTGCAAAAGAAAGAAAGAGGTAAGGACTGGGTCCCACAGAGCCCTTCAGGACGCTCCCCAGCGACTTGGGAACCTCCCACACACCCTGCCCCTTCCCAGGAGCCAACCCTGAGGACCCAGACGTAACACACAGGCCCCGAGGGGACCTTCAAGGTCCAAAGGACAACGGAGTCTGCCTTCCCCCACCTCCAGCAAGTAGCAGAAGACAGAGGAGATGGATCTGTGTGGAAAGCAAGCCCTGGGACAATGCATTTCCAGAGCCCTGGAGATGTTCATACACTTTGGACCAACAATTCCACCTCTTTAGGGGATGGTCAGAGATGTCACGGAGTCACAGAACTCACTGCAGAATTGTTGGTTATGTGGAAAATTTTGAAACAATCTCAGTGTCTAACCTAACGTCAGGGATAGGAAACATAAATTTTGGTTTAAGCACTTCATGGAATATGGGGCGGCCACTGACCATCTGTGGAAAATATGAAATGGTACAGGAAGCAGGTTTGAATACTTAGGTATTTTCTCAAGGATTCCTGCAGAACACTAAGCCTTTGAAGTGTTTTCTGAAAAAAAGATGTTTCCTGGCATAACAAATTCGAGAAACATTACATATATTAATGCTGCTCTAGAGGTTTACAAGGTATTATTAGTACATTAAAAGCTCTGACATTTTCTGTAGTAAAGCAACCTATTTACTTTGGTTTTGACTCAGGATTTTCATCAACTTTTAAACCTTTTTTCAAGTAGTATTTATTAACATCCAGGAAACTGCTGTGTGTGGTCAGATCTCTCCCGGGGGCATGGTACAAAAAGAGCAGCTCTGTCTCAGGGCCTGGCCAGGCTCTGACCCGGTTTTCACGGAGGGTAAAATGGCATGAAGGTGAGGAAGGGGTCAGAGACCGGGCTGGGGGTCTCACACTGGTCCCAAACGTGACGACACTCATTGCCAAGGGATGGCAGGCGAGTTTGGGATGGAACCTGCTTGTCTAGATTCTTTTGGCTGCTCTACCTGCAACACACACCTCACAAACACACACACACACACAGAGCACAGTGGAAGTGTAATTCTAGCGCAGCGCAGCTCTGCCGTCCAGGAGCGCAGGGGTGGAAAATGCACAAGGTTTCCAAAGAAGCCCGCGGCACTGGGCTCTGGAGCAAGGTTTGCAGAGGCCGCTCCGTCCCTGGTGAGAGCCAGTCGCAGCTGGGAGTCGGCGGCTGCATGGACGGCGCTCCGTCTCAGGTGCCAGGGCCCAGCAGAAATCC